AAAAAATAGAAACTATAACAAAATACAAATATTAACATCCGAAAATGGAATTAAACAGATTACCAAAATGCAGAACTGAAATAATAAATGAGCACATATTACAAAAGTATTCATGGAGGAATTTTCCCCAATAAAGCCTTCCAAAAAGAATCCTGCGATATGCACATGTTCACCTTCAGGTATGAAAAGTCTTCGCACGCCCTCTGCTTGAAGGAGCCATGAATCTCTTGAATCGACTGTAGAGACGAGCAACCAAATGGGTAATGGGATTGAAGAACAAACAACTATTACGATTATTCTCCCTGAGTTGCAGGAGAACTAGAGGTGATCTGATTATGGCGTACGACACATCTAGCACGACAAATCATAGTAACGTCAGCACCTTACAGGTACATCACCACCACTCCTCTCGATGCATTCCCCAAAAGATCGTGCATCAAAGAGCAAATACTTGGGTTTGTGCACACTTTTTCCCTTTCAAAGTCGTCGCAACTTGGAATGCTCTCTCAGCCGAGGTGATCACAGCCTCTTCAGTGGACAGCTTTGAGAAGAGACTTGATAATCACGTATTCACATACGGATTATCGTACCCATCGTGAACAAGCTGTGCCTGATGAATGTCTTGAGACCTGCTAGTTGTTATCATTGCCATCACCTCAGATTAATAAATTATACTTTCTCGCCTATTATGTCTGTTTCCTCTCCCTTTCTTACACTTCGGTCCTCTCTCATTATCTTCACTACCAATTAATAAACTAAATTCTTCTATATATTTCTTAGTTCCGAAATTTTATTCATATTACCATTAGAATTTTCTCCTTATTATTCTCCACGTTGCAGCCAACTGGTCTCCCGTCTGGTAATGCGACAGTTGCTGATATCCAGAAACCCTGCTGCCCTGAAACAAACGTTTTCATTCAAACCGAACAACTGGAATCAAACCGAAAGAACAAGGAACGAGAGCCAAGAAATCAGCTAGTTTATATTATTTCGAGAAAAAGACATTGGATATTGGACACAGGTATTCGATATTGGATACAGTATTTAGTTTCTTTTTTAAACAGTTATTTGCTGTTAACGTGGGCAATGGTAGAAAAATAATTTCACAGATAACAGAGAGATGAATGGATCACTACGATAAACGATCCTGAATATGGGGTGTGCTCAATCTATAAATGTTAGAGAAATAGCAGATTGTGATGAAAAGCCAAATTCAGGTAAATATAGACGTTAAGTTTTTCACTTCTATAAATTCTAAAAATTACTAAACACTTTTCAGAAGGGCTTTAATTGATACACGTGTGTTTTTTTCATGTCTCAGGTTTATGCTATACGGAAAGTGTCTTCAGTATCTGATACTGCTATTAGTAATTCATCAACAAAATAGTCTAGAACACAACAACAAACATGTGGCTCGCCATGATATCATTCCGACAGCTTCTAGTTCCAGATTTTTTTTAACCGTAATTATCACTCTATTTGTCGGAAACTGGCTGAAATTATGCCTAGGATTACTTTAGTTCATCAACAATGACTCAGATAAAAATTCACATTTCAAAATAATTAATCGGGACAAAACCCTGGACTCATCTTATCACGTGTTCATAACTGTTTATTAGAACTAAAAGTAGAACTTCGAAGTTTGCTCTTGAGGTGTCTTGTTTTTCAGGGTTTGGTTTCCCAACCACACTATTTCCTTATTTTTGTGATGGGCGAATACTGTTTTGGAAATAGTTAATCTACAATCGTGAGGTGACAGAGCATTCTAATCTCATTCAACTGGCAATTTATCTCTGGTGACGCGAGACGGAAGTCTCATAAATAATGGCATATGCCGAGATTCACGTTTGAAGCAGCACAACAGTGTTTCAAAGTCGCTTGTTGTGCTAAATGTAAATCAAGTGCTTTAAATTAATTTTGCAATGAGGAGGACATTTCCAACATTACAAAAGAAATCTGTTAGGTTTTGACAAATCAGTTATTTTTGATCGTGTTTTTTCATACCAGGAGCTTTCAGCTGGATGTATCCAGCAAAAGCAATGAAGTCACCACCGGTGTCGACGACTTATAAAACTATTCATTTTGAGATTCATTCACCGCCACAGTCATATAATCAATAGTTATGGCTAATTCAGTCAGACCAATCCTTGGAAACTTTAGCAACGATAAAAGAAACAGGAATTACAAACTAGTCGTCTTTCGAATTTCTAATATTTATGAAATCATTTTCATTAATATACTAAGTGATACATGAAAATCAGTGTTATGAATCCTCTATCCTTAAAGAGATTGAAGAATACTTCAAATTCTGTATGCCATAACCTAAATAATTTTATATTAAAAATTATATTTCAATCTAACTATGTTTGCAGCAATGCAAAATGCCACTTAGACAATTGAGATATTTACAATGTCATGTAGGATTTTTATGACGTTTAGTGTTGATTATTACATTGTCAAAGTTTTCTTCCCAACAACCCTAACTCTACTTGTTCAGTACATTATAAAACGTTTTATGCATAACTGTAGTTCGCCTTACAAATACAGACTGGGTTTTCGAGGAAGTTCGTGTGACTGTTTCATTCCGAACTTCAGAAGATCTACAAGATTACATCTATATGCGACGAACTAAAACCTAACCTAGCGTTTAGTCGATAAGATCTCAACGTTTAGAAAACATATTGACGATATTTCGGTAGTCTACAACAAGCTAGGCGGTGGGTTTTGCTTTTCGGAATAGATTAATATGAAGTAGAATAACTAAGTTAATCTAAACAAATGATGACAACAAAACTTTCAAGCATTTGCAAAAGGTGCAAAGGAAAAGGATTGTCCTAAGTTTGGTTTGATGAGAAATGTATCTGGATGAGACGATGAATAAATATCGGTAACTATGGTGCATATAAACAGTGCAAGACCAACAAGATTTTCAGATTCCTCTACAAATATTTATCTCACTATTGTATTTTCATTTATTTAGATCAGACTAATCAGAACTATTCATTAACCAAGACAAGTGACGAGAAAAGATACTCTCAACAGTACAGTAAGTTCTAACCTGTCTTCTTTATTACTTCCATTCTCTACCCATCAAAACTGATTGAACTAACTTTACTCGGCTAGCAGAATTTCTAATCGCCTCAAATCACTCTGTAATTTGCTACTTATTGAAAATATTTATTTTACAAATGATATACATACCAGATTGTTAGATAATTTTCTGAAAGGTTTTCTAAACTGTTTGCATTGGAGACCGTTGGTCATTTTTTTAATCAGTTAGGGATAAAATGATGTAAGCTAGGATGAAATTCCAACGAAAGGTTTAATTTCAGGCGCTGAACCTTTACTAGCCCGGAATGTTGGGTTGCGTTGTTGTAAACAAGTCTACGTTAGATATTTTTGGATATCTCTAGCAGTCATCAATAATCATTATATTAAAATCTCTAGTATTATCTTTAAGACAGCCACGTTAAATATTTAGAATGTTAGATGATTAAGGTGAGCCAAATAAACGCGGTGAAAGATTTATTTGGCCTTAAAGTAAGTCTTAGTGGTATTTAGATTAAAAGAATGTTATGGCAAAAAAGTACCATTTTTTGATGTCTATAAATACTTACTTAGAATTTAATGAGATAACATATATTTGCATGCTGCTTACGCTAGGCTACGCAGCAATCACAAACCAAGCCACATAAGTATCCATTCAGCGTCATATTTTTTCAAATCATTTATCCAACGGGTCACTGAGATGAATGTGAAAGTAGTGCCAAAAAGTGAACCATACTCGAAATGCTTACAGCTAGCGCAAAATTGCACATCAACAAAGAAATAGTGAGAATTTTGTATTCAAAAATCCTTAGTTGGTAAATATCAGATATGAAGAAAAATTCATTGTGTAGAAGTGTTAGTAATAAAATTAAATAATTCACCTAACAACTTTAGCAACCACTAGATAAAGTATTTGATAACATTAGCGATGGTCAATAAGCGATAAAAAGTTACTAAATGCATTAATGTTGGTTCGCTACATTAGTATTGAGTCAACTTTTACTTTGATAGATCAAAGAAGGCCAATATAATTTACAAGTCTCAGGTCGAGAAACACACTCTAGTCACATTATTTCGACCATGTAGCTCCACCAGTTCACTAAATGGGATTAAAAACCACTGGCTGCAGTATGTTCAGTATCTTGTAAGTTGTTCAAAGAGCTGTCAATATCGTTCACATAATTTACTTACGCCTGTGACTCCTTGTGGAACATAGGCCGCCAACCAGCTTTCTCTCACCTAGTCTGTTTTGAGCTTCCCTCTACAATTCTGTCTTATTTAGGTTCATTCTTCTGTCTGTCTCCATTAGTCGGTATAACTCGCTCTTTGGTCTTCCTCTTTTCCTTTGGCCTTGGGGGTCTCAAAAGGGGGTTTATTTCGTCAAGCAGTTGGATTCTTTCTTTAATATTTGTCCTATCCACTTCCACTGCTTCTTCTTGATTTCCCCCTCAACTGGAATCTGGTTTGTTCTCTCCCACAATAGGTTGCTGATAATAATGTCTGGCCAATGTATTCGAAGTATTTTGCGTGGTCAACTGTTAATGGAAATTTGTATCTTGTGAATGATGGCTTTGGTAGTTTTCCAATTTTCCGATCCATACAGTAGAAATGTCTTGGCTTTCGTATTGAAAATTGTGACTTTGGCGTTTGTTGAAAGTTATTTTGAGTTCCAGACGTTGTTTACCTCTGGAAATTCAGCCCTAGCTTTGCTAATCCGAGCCTTCATATCTGCATCACACCCATCTTAATCATCAATAAGACAAGTATAGGTTTTCACATCTTCCATAGTTTCCCTGTCGTATATCTAGTATTGAAATTATGTAGAGAAGTAGAACTCATAATAGCTTGAAAGTTTCTTCCCGTAAATTATACTGCAGAAAGTTTCCACACATTCTGAATAAGCTCTTCACCGTAAGTTTGGGATATTTGGCCATACAGAGGCACTTGAATTTATGGATAAACACCAACATTTAAGCCAAACGTTTTTATGCCATGAAAAATATGATCATAGAAGTAAGTGGATGGCAGAACTCAAACTGATTTGCATTGACACCTATAATAATACTCTCTTTATTTAAAAGAATAATGCTCTGTGGAATTGCTTAAGTTGATTTTCAAAAAGAATCACGGAACATACTGTGCTGAAACACGTCACTTGATAACCTTATGTATAGTTGTCGTCTTTTGTATCGTTTATAATTCTTATGAATAAACCTTTTAGTCCAAAACATTATACCTAAATAGTGAACGTAATCACATGCTAACGATAATAAATATTTAATTTTATCATACCAAAATGATATCATGCATAATATTTAGCAAGTTAAGAATAAGTCTGACGAATTTCGATAAGCTTGCGAATATTTACTATCTACTGCTTATTTAAATGAAGGCTTAAAAAATCAACATAAAATACATTTTGTTTGAAAAATTGATACGCCTTATTCCTGAGAAAAATAATTAACTGGTGAAATATAAGTAATAGAACTGAATTTTTACAAAGTCAAATTTTTGACTTTAACTATTTGATTGAATATCTTCACAGTTTGCATATGCATACATTTATCAAGCTGTTAAAATGTCAAACTTTTAAATCACGGAAACCGCTAAAACAGCTGAAGCCTCTTTCTTTATCTTTCCTGTTTTAACTTAGGAGTAGTCAACTGCATATCATATCTAGAAGCATTTACTTAGAACACCAGAGTTACGGATGAGTGATCACTATTATATCTCAAGTATCGTAGTCCATAAGATCATACCCATAACATATAAATCCTCATTATCAGGTCCTAAAAGATAACTACGGCTTTCTGACGATCACTGTTATGTATTAAACATTTTTTTAGTCAGATCATTTAATTTCACCACACACGGAGAGGAAATTATCTTAACCCTATAAAACAGAATTCTGACCACGTTCTAGATCTAATTAAAATACTGACAAAAATGAAGTTAAGATGAATTTTATTTCAAGTTTTTTCTGTAAATAATGGTTACATATAAACTGCTGTTTCTGCTAAATGAATTTTAGGAGGTGATAGATAGATATTCTGATATTCAATAATTAACTTAGTATTCATACAGGTATTACGGGCTATTCAATGTCAATAAGTGCACATTTTATGTTGATTCACATCACAAAAGTGTAATCAATTTCTCTGAATTTACGATAGGTTTTCGAAGTTCTAGTAACAAGATGCAAGTGTTACAGTTTACCCATGCAACTTTATCATCAAAATACTTACTAATGATAAATAGTTTATTCTGATCACATATTTACTTACAAACCTTATGAAACGTAGGATATTATTAATGTATTACTAGAGTCTATATCGTATGCTCTCTAAGTAAATTAAATGAATTCTTATTATCACATAGTGACATCTTCGTTTGAATCAGTGACTTCACTGACTACCTGATAGATATGTGACAATTAAACTTAATCATCAACAGTGGATACAATGAATTCATCAACCTTCATTTCTCTATATAAGATCTAACTCACACGGTTACCTGACAGTATATTTTCATGACTTTCACGTGTGTAAGTCTATATATTTAGGTTTTCTGAAGTTGTACTCCTTGTTTCTCATATTCCGCTAGGTTAAAAAATATATATTGCTTAGTATATTCGAATCATTTGTAGCCAGTAATAGAAACTATCTAGTTCATTTGTGAAAAATTTAAATATTCATTATTTGAGGTTTAGGAGCAGCTGTTCTTATTCAGAAATGGTATCGCCGTTACCAAGCACGTTTGGAAGTCAAAAGAAGATGCGCCTGGATGATTTATCAGACATTGGAGTATGCAGGTGAACAAAATCATGCAAAGGTAAACTGTGCTGACTTTGTCAAATTGAAAGTAACAATAATAAAACATGTGCTTCTTTCCCTAAAACGATAATCATTCACTTAAAAGCTTGTTTAATCCTAGATTATTTCTTACCAATTAAGCTATATTATTAGACATATGATAATGCATTGCGTAAGTTATAGTTGAAAGTTGTTTTGTGCTTATGTTCAATCCCACAACATATAGCTTTGATGTGTTATAGTTTTCTGTGGATTCTGCACTACTCTTCATTCTCTCTATACATAAATCAATGAAGGAAACCGACAGAAATTCGCTACAATATGACTGCAGATATATATATATATATATATATATATATATATATATATATATATATATATTCTGGGCTTAGTTGGATAGGCTAACACAAATGTAAATGATATATCATTTCATGCAGAATTACTTTGATGAAACATATGATAAACCACTATTAACTATTCTTGTTATTTGTAGCAAGCTATTTTGATTAATTTTAACCGAATTTATGAGATTGAATAGTAACGGGTTTGATTATGTATAAATTAAATTTCATTTATATCGTGAGTATGCTATGTTCGGATTCCTAAATTAAAAACAGAATACATGTCGGTATATAATGTCCAAAGATATAGGGTAACATGGTTCGTAATCGCCAGCAATAGAAAAGATGTATTCACTTGTAATCTTTCAGTGAATCCTGAGTCTCAAAAGTATATTAGATTAATTTTTATTTTGCAAATCCACTCTTTCCTCTCAAATCATATTTTCTATATCTAATCCCACTTACTGTCTCTAATACTTTTACTGATTCTACAACTGTGGAATTTACCTCATTAATTCGAACGCGTCACACATTTACAGTTCGTTAACTTGAACCGATCCATATAAGTGTCAAGTTTTACGTTGTATACAACTGAGTGACTGGAACTCAACTATTCACTTCATTTATTTATTGTAACATGTTTGCATCAAAGTACGTATAGTCTTAGTACGCTGCTCATAAAAATCAACTCATTAAGTTTTCATGTTTGATATATAATTATATCTTATAAAATAAAGTACATTACTGAATAAAACAAACTATCCTTGGTATTTTAAAGCTCAATGTCAAGGTTTTGATGCGAGATCAAAAGGATCTGGCTTTGATTCTTTGTATGCTCATGGATACTCATTGCCATTAAGTTATGTACTAGGATGAAATATTGCCCAGTGCATCCTGATTTTCGTTGTCTATCTAAATAAAATCAGTTTTTTAAAATAAACTAAAAACTATAATCAAATTATATTGAAGTACGATTGTTGTTTATTTATTCATTATACAAATTTATTTATTTTAATAAGTTTTTCTAATAAATTTCAATTTTTTCAAATTTATCTCTTATGAAATCATTTCCTTATTTTATGATTACACTGAATTAAAAAATTAAATAAATGAAAAGCTGTATGATTTATTCCATGATCTTATATCACATGCATCCAATGGCGAAACAATGGACACAGATAATAATAATGCCGATAATCCACATAATCCAGGTAAGATGAAATAGATTATTTTTCAAAACTTACTGAAATATTTTTTCTTCTTAATTTAATCATTATTTAATTCATTTTATGTGAAACTAATTCGAATGTAAAGTTTACAAGTGATTACAAAAATATCTGCCAATTTAGTTGCAGTGAATTTACTAAGCAACATTAGGTAATCAGAAATATTCCAGAAAACAGTAAATAAAAATGAGGAAAGTAACTTGAAGATGATTTCGAACAGAGTAAGATTTATGTTTAAAAGTATTTATTGGTAAATCAATCATTGTGCACTATTATGTTACATGCAGAATACATAATAGAATTATATTGTAAAAATCAGTTTCAGAGGTGAATCACTAGCATTAGTAGTGTAAGAACTAATAAGTAGCTATTATATTTCAAATAAAGGAGTTACAGATCATATGTAAATCTTCCTGGCCAGTTAAATAAAATATAAGAGATTAGTAAAGGTTTTATTGGCTATCCTTTAACTACACAGATCGATACTTAAAAACTTGATGATGAATATTCTCAATTGTGCACCGATTGCAACAAGATCTACAGAAGCAGTTTGACTGGTTATAGAACATCATTAAAAGGAAACAAATAAGCCTATTTGTTGTAAGCAGACAACCGTATAAAATGATAGTGTACGTGAACAAAGAAAAATCTATTTGTTATATTTATGCATAAGAAACTAGATATACCTATCTCAAACAGTAAATATTGTAGGAGGGTGTAAGAAGTAACAAAGAAAAACACGAACATGATTCGAAATCATCAATCAATCATTGTTAGACCACCATTAGAAACCTGGAAGAACTGGACAGCCGTTTCGTCCTGGTATGGGACTCATCAGCAGTGCGCATCCACGACTCCTGCTCCTCGCAGGATTCGAACCCGGGACCTTCGGCATTGTAGGCGAACGCCTTACCATCGGACCAACGATTGATTGATGACTTAAAATGTGTAAAGACGCAAACCTCCAAAACTCTGCCACAAAAATGATTGTCACAAAATTTATTACGTTTAATTCTTTTAAAGTATATGAAACATTTCCTTTTATTATCTTAGATATAAGGTTTCTAACGACTCCAGATACTGGTAAGCATTGCTTATGTAACCAACCTGTTGTCAAAATATTTCAATTATTCATGTAGTTTATATTTAATTCATTTAACTTCTAGTTTTTATTCTTCATTCGTGAACCATTATCGCTTCTTATCAATTATCAGTGTTTCTCTTACCTATACATTAAATCTATTGGATACTTTAGTTTTTTATTGCTTATAAGTGTGAAAAAAATTGTTTTTTATTGTATGAGTGTAGCTGTGCTTATAATTATTTTTATTCGGTGATCTCATTTCGATCACGTTATTCACTAATTATCAATATATATATAGTCATGTCACTCCAGACTAGTCTGAATATGACTTTGAAACTAGGTATATGTTAACGATTTCGGGGTGTTTGCATTATGCTAAAATTGGCTGTATTTTATTAGAAAACAATCATTAAAACTTAGGGTAATGGAATATACATGCATGTATGCATGCATGCATATATATATATATATATATATATATATATATATATATATATAAAACTGTGAAGGAGAACATAGGTGGGGCAACCGAATTGTATTTAACGAAAATTACAGAGTTACTCAGTAAAATCGGAAAACCATATCGTAAATCGTTCATTTGCAAAATATCAGTTCATCATATCGAACTGGACTGTTCCGGTTGCAAAACATCAATCGATTGTCACTATTTATGCGTTTCATACAAATTCCATTGTTTTCTAAATCTTCCTTTCTTGGTCGTCCTCCCATCTTCTGCTGCCAGACATTACGTCGACGCTCACGTCATATACTACTTATAAGTAGCTCGCACCACAGCACCACAATACTATTAAACTGGTTATGGTTGAATGCATATTTGACAAATTTAGTAAAGTTTTATTCTCCAAGTTGGATGATATAATCATTAGACTATCACAGTCTTTCTGATTGATAGCATTAGCACAGACTTCAGGTAGGAAATGAGATTTTAGATAATTTTTACGAAAGACTAATAAATTATTTTATCAACCTTGAATTTGATGATCGATGGATTTAAAATTCGTCTCCAAAACACGTTTGTCAATTTCCTTCCGAAAGATAACAAACTTCTAAACTGGACGTGTTATGATATATTAAATGATGACTATTATAATATAATCTGATATGTAAATCTCCATAGTTAGAAAAATGCTTTTTTTCAATACAGAGAGATATTTGAGGTGAAAAACTTTTGAAAACCAATAAGTACAAAATGTTGATTACGAAATCCCGTGGATCGGTCAATTAGTGGAAATTTTCATATAATCTTTTCAACTATAATCACTTGAAATTGTCTCAGCTAATTAACAAACTTTACTAAATCTTCTGCTCTACATATAAAACCTATCATTAAAAATGGTTTCAGAAAGCAACTATTTAAATCCAGAATAAATGGATAAATGGTTAAAAATATATAAATAAGCTCGATTAATGTTCACCAGGTCAAATAATCGATATCATATAGTACTCTCATTACTTCAAAAACCTTACATTCAAATCATTATTTATTCATGTCATTGTTATCATAATGAAGATTCACAGTTAAAATAGATATTTCTTTTAATGGTAGTCAATGAATTAGATGATTTAAAACTCTTCGGAAAACTAATTATCATAGTGAACATATAACATTATTATATTTTAATATTATATAAGAATATATATTCTGTTATATTTCTCAACTGATAAATTGTATTTTATGTATTTTATTCTCATTACTATTAGACATTGATGAACCATTAGACTTAAACATTTGGAATGGGGATTGGTTAACGCCAATACCATCAAATTATCAAGGAATAAAATTGTATTTCCCTTTAGACATGCAACAAGTTGCTATGATGATGGAATCATTTGTTCATGGACAGGTAAGCACTATGTATATCTTCACATTAAATATGTAGTTGGTTATTATTACCACCTTTTTTAATTTTTCCATCAACTGTTATCATCACTTCTAAATAATAAACTTTTCATCGTATTGTTCCTCAATACTCATGAGATTTTCGGTATATAAAATTTCTTAATCACTCGGCTGATGACACAAAATTATAGATCATATCTTTTTATCGTAAACTACTTGGAGTTTTAACCATTACAGACATGATTTGACAACTCAATCACTTTATTATTGAGAATAATCATAACTTATAGGTTAGGTATAGAACTTATTGTTAAAATTAATTACTTTCATCAATTTATTTTATTCAAAGTTTTAAGGGTTTCCATTTTTATATTCAGTAGAATAGTTTTGTTGTTAAATAAAAATGTTAATAAAAAAGTGTAAAATTTGACATTCATTTTGAGAATCTAAATTTGCTTTTGTTATCTATCGGTTGGTAATTAACTTAATGGCATCTGTCCAGCATGTGATTTTGTAACATTAACAGCTGAACAACTTTGGCCAATTTATGTTGCCTTCTTTTGGAACTGATCAGAGTCATGATATTTGTTGGACTTTTTTTCAATATACAATTGACGTTCAGTAATAGTAATAAAATGTTAAATCTTAACTGCTATTTGTTCAGGCAGAAGACATTATTTTAATGCAGTTTCTGATTCATTTAACTGGTTCCTCAAGGTCCAGACAAAAATTGGCTGATATTTTCCTGCAATTTACTTATATAAGAAGTGTTAAGATTAGAAAAACAAGACAGTTGTTTCTGATTATCAATTCTTTTCAACTACTAAAGGTATTATGATAATTAAAACACAAATTTCTTTAAAAATATCTAATACATCCAAAATAAAATATATTGGGATAATGGCTGTTAAATTTGTAATTAAAAATATGGTAGATCGGTTATGCATATTTTCGAAATGAGCTAAACATTCTTTGTAAAAACCAAGCCTTGTATCTTTCATGACCTAAAAATTTATTAGTTTAACAGCAAAAACAAGTACAAGGAATTTTAAGTTAGTGATCGATAGTCAACTTGGACGTGTAAGTTTAACATCAGTTCAGTAAGTCTTAGAGCGAGTGTTCGGGGTACTCATACAACAGGAGATCACTCACAGCTCAATGTTAACGTCCCAGATTGTTAAGCTTGGTAGTTCGGTTCCAAATCAACAAGGTTGTATCATTTATTTCAAGAGATGTAGGTGCCCTAAATTGATAAATGACAACTAACATGAAACCAAGGTCCAAGGTTTCCTGCCTACTACATTCAGTCACCTAACTTATACAAATTCCTCTAAACCATTTAACGATACTCGCATACATATAAGTCACTATCAATCACTTAAAAGAGACAATAGTGTTAAAGGTATATAGACATCTCTAGCCTATTCTGTGAAGAAACTTATCACTTTCAATCTCAAACTTGCATTTCCATAATCTCAATCTATTTTCTACCCATCTTATGTATTTTATAATAGATAAAAAGCATTCTCCATGAATTCATCATTTTTATTTAATCAGTATAAACGAGGAAGTAATCGTTAACTATTTTACTAACTAGGCGTAATCCTAATAAAGATATGATCTGGACTGCTACTTATTGTACATTTTCTCGAATTTTTTTTATTGATAATAAATTGAATAAATAATAGACAAAAATGAAAGTTTGCGTGATGACTGAATCTGAATAGAATCGATCTACCCTACTATGAATGAAATATATGTTATACAAAAATACATAAATCAATGATTAACCAACGATTTGGGTTTAAATTATATTCATTTAAAAAATATTTGTTTATTTTAAATCCTTTCGAGAAAACAAGTATTATTATTAATTATGAGCGAATTTAGTAAAATACAGTTCAACTAAGTTAGCTCTGTCTTTAACTATGACTATTTTTTTTATTAAATCTCTTGGTTAAATATCTCAAATAAATAAGCATAAGTGTGATGAGTTTGTAGTGATTATTGAAGTTTTTAATATACATCTCTAACAGACCTTTATTAAAAGTGTAAATCAATGGATGCCAACTCAGTAGTTCAAAAACAAAGCAGTATCAGAAAAACCTGAATGCTTACGATTTTTGTGATGTAAACCTAAAGACTAGATTATTGACGATATTCAAGGGATATTTGCATCTAGTTCATTTCTACAAAATGTGAAATGCAGAAAGTTAAAAATAAAAAGCCTTTCTAACTTATGAGTTCATGTACTCAACTATGAAGTGTATAAATCTGCCTTGTATGATTTAAACATTTAATTTTTAAAAATAAACAGTTAACACATCATTTCATGGTTTTAAGTCTTGTAGTTCTTCGATAATACAGAGAATATTGAAAAATAAATTGGCAATCTAACAACTTAAACATCTATTTTCACTCTTACTCTTGAACATAATTAAATCAAATATGAAAACAGTTCCGATGAATTTTATTTGGCTAGGATTTTGGTAATCTTATTAATTAAATAAATTTGGAATCTTTTGAAATAAATAATAATGAAGAGAAATTTATGACTTTACATGCTGCTTCTAAAATATCTTTTACTGCATGAATACATCCAGATTACATAATTACTAATGTTTATCTATTGACAATAGAAAATTTAAGAATGACTAATATGTATATATATCAAACTACATAGCGAGATTCAGTTGATTTCATACTTTCATTTGATATGATAATTGTTCAAATGAACATTTGTATCATAAGTGTTCTGATCACAGGATGTTTGAATTAACATGGAATTTAGGTGAACCATCACGCAAACACGTATCTAATCAATTATATTATTTGAAGTCGTCTGTCTGACTTCAGCCCTTTATATCTACGGATTAGAAAGGAAGTGACAGAAGTAATAACTAGCTTTCATTGATTACATTCCAGATTAGTCTTAGTTAAACAACAGCAGTTCCCAGCTGCAATCACAAAATGGAATCGACTCAGGACATTTTGTCTTGATTTTAAGTTGGCACCTGTTAATGCGACTAAAAATTCTTGAGTTCATTCTATTGTGTGATCACGGTTGTGTGCTGCTAAGAACTTCTACACTAAGAAGAAACAGCTATCTATTGATCTCTGGCACTCTGTCTTTGTCTAACTGAAGACAACATACAACTTAATCTATTAAAGTTTCAACGATATTCATAAACCTTCTATATCAATAATAATTAATTCCCATAGTGAATAATAATCGAAACAAAGAAGGTTGTTAGATAGGGTAAGGGAAACATAACATCATATGATTATAAAATATTCATTCAGTTAGTTAGAAATAAAAGTCACTCATGACGTTGATCGAATTTCAATATTTGGCAAAAATATTCGGTTTTCACATTTCAAGTCAGCTTTCTCTAAATATAATAGATGTCCAAAACTTACTATATATGGAGATAATAAGTAGGTTTGATTCTTATCAACATTTCATTAATATATTATGACAAAATCAGAATTATTAATTTATACCATCACTATGCTGAACTTTATTATGATTGCTATCGTGGTAATTAATGTAATGTGTGCATTATCTATATATAGAGTTGCTTAATGTCGGAAGATCTTTTACTTAAGATGATAATATTTGTGACATTTTCATGTATAAAAAACTAGCTAATTAACGATCTTTAAGTCAAAATATTCGGTTAACAAGTCCATATATATATTACAGTGATGTTAAAAGATGTTAGAAATTAAGCTCTGATAACTATCCTGTTAAATTTTCAGCATACTTTCAAATAAACTTAATGGTTATTATTGAATAAAACCCTTTTCATATATATGTATATATATATATATATATATATATATATATATATATATATTCGAGATAAACATTTTTATCCACCTCTCTTTTCTTTGATCCTGAACTTTCTTTTAATATTTCAATAACGAATCCTATTACGTGAATACTCTTGGCAACCAAATGAATTCCTTCTCTTAGTGGATCATTTTTCAGAGCAAACAATCACTGAATTTCCTAATTGGCCTAGGATACTGTCAGGACACTCGAACCAAAGCAGATGATTTGCTTAGGAGATCACTTCCTCAAACTTTGACCTAGAGGTCTAATCCACAGAGCAGTGACGTCACGTTAGGAGATGTGGTCTAGTGGTAGTTGGTGACCAACATTAGGTTCACACGCTATTTTTTCCTCCAGACCCTAGGGCCCATGTCCATCACTGGTTTGGAATCAGAGTGTTTTAACTTTCCTAGGCGAATCCTTAATACCCACCAATCCGGTATAAGTCCTGGAAATTCCCTTTTTCGTTCTGTCTCTATTCTTTGAAATAATAATATTAACCAGTAGTAAGAGACTTTGATTGATATGACTTAAAATCGTTTACAGAGGTACAGGAGCATGCATAATTTGTCTCCCACCATCAATTCTTCCTAATATTTATGTTTTTATTTTGTTGATTTGTACTTTCTTCAATCATTTCTTTGGTTCCTGACCTATTTTATTCTCACTGATATCGTCTGACAGTTTCACCTTGCTGTGCTAATAGATTATAGCAACTTGAACCAACCTACGTACGTGCCAATTTTTACGAGGTAACTAACTGACTGAGTCTCGCGAACAACACACCCGTGCAAGAAAGTAGTGAATAAGACTTCCTTGGCATTGGCTATATACTCATGACCATGTATGAGCATTTCAGTAGGGAGAGCGAACTCTACTAGTCCAGGTGACTCGATGTTGCATTTACTACGTTTTGACGTTTGACGGTAACCATCAGGAACTCTTGAACCTAGATTTGTTCTAAGTAGGAACTTTCCATCGTAGTTTACTTACAATCTGGAGGAAATTGATGCTTCTTTGTGAATCTGAATGCGCATCACCAAGTTTCTCAGCCTGAGACTTTACCACCAATCTATTAAAGTTGATTTTTATATTCGAAGACTAGTTGAATCCATAAATAATTAAACAGTTTTTATAATCTGTAGAGAGTAATTTTATGAATATCATGGACAAGATTGAATCTAGGCACATAATTTGTATCGTCTTAAAGTTGGAGTAGTAACAAGGAAATTAAATACAATCACATTACAGTCATAGTTATTCAAAAATAATCTATTATATACATAAATTTCAAAGGTTTGGTTTCTTTATTTTTTTTTTAAATTAAACATTTTTGATTCTATATGAATAAGCTAGAATTCGAATAAATCATATCAGTTAAACTATTTAGATAAAAAAAAACGTTTAACAACCAAAGGTTAGAAAACCTTTTATTGTTTCTTTTAATTACTTATTTCGTTTGTTTGTTTGTTTTTTCTTACTACATCTACACCCAAATTAGTGCTTTTATATAATTAGTATTTAGCCTTGACCTAAAGTGTCAGAATATCTGTCTTAAAATGAATTTTCCCTGTCGTAAGGTAAACAAGTTAATTGTTAAAACTTGCAAAAGATGCTTTGATAATGAAGTTTTGTACTGCATAATGTTGTCAACTATCTGACAATCTAAGAAAAGGCTATCATCAAGATTGATATCAGCTAAAAAAATCATCTTGAAAATCAGAGGGCAATGAATAAAGTTTTTACTTCAGTGAAGTATTCTTCAGAATTTCACAGATAAAACTGAATCTAAGATATTCAGTTTAGTTGAAAAAGGTTTGAATAGCCCCGTTGTTCGAATTCTGACTGAAAATTGATCAGTCTATGCTGACATATGTGCAGATTGTCTCGATATAGCCATTATATGCTACGCTTGCGCTAAATAAGATACAACTAAATATCGCTGAACGGAACGTAAACCAGTGACACAAAAACAGGACAGCTTATCTATTCTCTGAGGACCAGTCCAACTAACTAGAACAAGACGTTCAAGGTCAACAGGAGTGTTGTATAATCCACAAGCAGACCCGAGCGATAAAATTCACAGTCATTTAATTCAAGCGTAATTTATACAGTACAAAAAGCATCCTTGAAAGAGTTATAAAACAGCTTTCTAAAAGAGGATACTAACCAATGAAGTTCACTGATGAGTCCCATACCAGGACCAAACGGCCGTCCAGTGCTTCCAGGTTTATGATGGTGGTCTTACAATGATTGATTGACGATTTCAAATGTGTAAAGACTAATCATTTAATTCTCGTTATCTAGTCCTTAAGTTTTTCTTACGAATCTATCACTTTTTAAATTAACCTATGATTAACAAGCGTGAAATAATGTAAATTTATCCAGCTATCATATTTTTCTGTGACTTAATCAGCTTCTTATTACAGACATTTTTTGTACCCATTAATACATTTTTAATAATACTTTGGTGGATTACTTTCCTTTCCTTTTAATGGTAATGATCGACATGCCAACTGGGTCGTAATTCATATGATGTAGCGAGATATCATCAATCTTTATGAAATCGAATCGTTGTTACCTTACATGAACTTATTGCTGAAATATTTTAACCATACAACTATATGACATCATACTCAACACATATCAATTTACTTTTAGTTATCTCCAAAAATAAAAATAATGGTATTAGAAACCTGGTACTGATGGGTTATTAGGATTCGATTAAGTTAAGTTCCTTTGAATAAATTAAAAATTTATAATTAGATGCTTTGCTTGATTATGTGTAAAATATCACCCCAATCAAGGGTTACAACTTGTGCTTACTCTTCATAAATAATAGGGAAGTAGTATCACTCAAAAAGACTGGAAATTTCGGAAGTTCATTATTATTTGTACAATTGTTTAAATGCTCATAATCAGCCATTAATTTAAGGTTAATTTTCACTCGATATTTAAATAAACTGAAGAAACGTGAGACAATTAACAGTTATTTTGTCTTAGTATAATGCTCTCAGTGCATCACTGACCGCATGTAGGAACCTACCCAATGGTCTTAGGTCTAGCAGTTTACGTAACAATTTGTCAGTTAGTTACGTTGAAATCTAGTTCACTAGATTTTCAACTCTGTTTAGTTCAAAATAAAGCCTTATTTCATTGGTTAGTCAATGTAGAATACAATAAGCCTCTTAAAGTATTTGAACAAATACTCTGACCAGGCTTAAACGACGAATATTTAAAAGACGTGATAGGTGAAAATTATGTTTGAAGTAATCTCAGAGATAAACGTTTAAATAATTCAAAAGCTTTACTCAGAAAAAGTAAATTTTGATATTTCTGAAACAATTTGTATATAACTTTGAACTATACGTACTTTTTTTGGATTTGTTATACGACTATCAAATCTAATTAATAAAAATGAAATTAATCTGGGTTATATTAAGATAGGAATTGAAAGTCCCAGAGTTAGTTAGGTAGGAAAATATGCCATAATTTTTCAATTCAGTCTTGATTCCATTATAAACACAACAATTTTTTTGATAATTTTTTTCAGCGACTTCATGCAAAGTATGTATTTCAAATTTTGTGCGAATCCAGACAATGTATTATGTCACGTCCAAATATTCAAATGGCATCAACATCGATATCTCGACACATTACAGTTGTTGGTGATCTACATGGACAATATAGTGATCTTCAAATTATTTTTTATAAAGTAAGCATAATATAAATAATCTTATTTCTATTAATTTTTTACAGAATACACATTTATGTTATATAATGTTTTTCATGAATTATACCATGAAACAACTTAAAATAATCATGATTAAAAAGTCATAATAGTCAGTTATGATTATATATCCAGTAGAATAATAGAATTAAAAATCACAAATAATTTATAGTTTCTTAAAGCATAGGAAACAAAACTGTCGTTGTGTTTAAATGTATAACTTTATTTTCGATGAAATGATGAAATTTTTCAGATGAGATGGTTGCTTTTAGAATTACTGTATTTTTCTGATCTGGATGATTTGATTGTGGAGCTTTTCATATTATCACTGAACAATATCATTAGCGCAGCTACTTGATTTATAAGTGAACTTTTTTATTATTCAGCATATTTTATATCAATTTATTCTGATCCAGTTAATGTGGCATTAAAAAAGAATTGTTTTCAATCTAATTCATAATATTTAGAAACAACTGTCAGCATTGTATAAATTTCTTAGTATTTTTTTTTTGAGAAACTCAATTTTTGAAATCAATGGACAGGTTTTGTTTTTGTAGTATTAAAAATTGGACCTCCAGCAACACTAACAAATCATATTCACACCACAATAAAAATTAATTTTTATACTGTCAGCGTTCCTCATTAAATTAGCTGATGAGATAGTTATTACATATACAAGTTTTCTATAGAAATATTGTTCATACTCCATCTAATGTTCATTTGTTTGTTGCTTATTCATGTTGTTTTAGAATGGTATGCCAGATGTAACAAATCCTTATGTATTCAATGGGGATTTTGTTGATAGAGGTAGAAAATCGATAGAAACATTATTAACTATCTTGTGCCTAATGTTGATTCGACCAACTTCAGTATTTGTAAATAGAGGCAACCATGAAGATCTTTATGTAAACTGTCAGTAAGTTATGAATTTTAATCATGTAATTTCAGTTATTAGTGACTAATTAGTTTAAATTATCATACAGAGATAACTTTTATCACAAACCGTCTTGAAATAAATATCCATAAAAAACAAAAGATATCAAGTAACTTGTTCGTACTCTCGGATATGATCTCCGAAGGTGTTTACGTACAACTTCGCAAGGGATCGAACCCCAGACTTTTGGGTTTCTCAATGGGTTCGTCTTCTTTTGACCCCTGAATTAACATCAAAAACTTCACATTTTCGACGCATTTCACTTCACAACAGTGCTACTATTCCAACATACAGAGCTCCAGAAGTCTATCCCGATCACGTTCATAGTTGTGCCTTTTTACGCGACCTCAGATTTAAAAAGAAACAACCGCTTAGTATTTTTCGATTCACCAGCTAACATCAGTCCATAAAAGATGCTGTTTTTTATTTGATCGATTTACGCGAACATTCAATCATAACTGTAGTATGACTTCTTAGGAGTCATGTTTGCTTTGGACATCTGACATAAATGAAATACTTTGCAACCGTAAAGCCATAAGATTATTTGACCTGTTGATCTAAGCAAAACTTTCGTCAGTTAGTCAGTCAATATCTAGCTACCTTACCTCTTTCACCCGATGTTTATTCTGTAATCCCATAGTTCGATTTTCATCGGCCAATAATCATATTTGCCTTTCATCGTAGAAATACATCCATCTTAGCATTTACTATTTGAGCCAGACCGATTGGCCAAGGTGTGCGCAATAATCGACATTAATTTTCAAAGACTTTATATGATTATCGGTTGTTCTATCTGAGTCTCATCAGTTATACGTGCCTGCCTATGTCTTGATGTCTACACAAGGACCCAAACCCGATACATATTACTTGAGACGACAGTATGTTATCTAGGGAGTTCTTGAATCCAGATAGTCACTAATTTCTTTATTGGGTGTAAAATTAATAATGAAGGGTTTTGTTTTCCTACTGCTGAAGTAACATCCCCCCGATGAGTCCCAAATAGAATGAAACACGCATTCTAGATCCCATTACTAGGAATAAACATTTGTTTCTAATCTTTAAAGTATTCTATGCAATTAATTTGTTGATTTAGAAATTATCGAAACCTATCAACCGACTTTGTTCGAATGACACATATTTCCATCATCAAATGTCAAAAACATTGACATCAAAATCTTAGTTTAAATAGATAACGATATAATTTTGTTATTATTAATTTGAAAACCTGTGAAATTACGTTTTACGTTTCTCATCCTTAAGTATGTCTATTTCTTTTTCTAGATATGGATTTATAAAAGAAATTCAAAAGAAGTACAAAGTAAACATATATGAAAACTGATATTTATGTTTATTTATGTTGTATTAATAACAATGTTAATAATGACGATCAAGAAAAATACTTAACTTATTTTTCGGCGTAGGGTACTCAATATAAAAATATACCAAAAGGTTCTGTGAATAAATGGCTACAACCGTTTTTAACTAGTGTGCTATCTTTTCTTTTAATCCCAACCTCTCTACTACTCATATTAGTGATTCCGCTATATATTAGTGCAGTGCAGTGTGGGAATTGTGGAAATTATTGAATGTTGTTTAGCATACCGACCGATGTTAGTTAAATAACAATTCAAAACCTGAACAGCTGTTCTGTCCAAGTATCAAACTTTTCAGCATTATCCTTAATGAATAACCCAAAGATATCTGTGATCTAATATAACAGAGATTTACTCAAACTTTTTTAGTTATAGAGACCACAATGCACAGCTTTCGGATTAAAATAAAGAAATTCGATGTACAATTCACATGTTCTTTAATTGGTAAACATATTTTGAGTCTATGTAAAAGATGGTATATAGAAATTAAGTCACCTTTTTGAAATCATATTGATGTTGAATTAAAAATTAATCCACTGAGGCTGATAAAAATTTGTAAATAAGTAAATTTTTCAATAGACTGAATTAACTGACTTAGTATCATCATTTTAAGTTCTGATCCAGAAAGATTTTTACGTGTATTTTTTTTAAAAATTGATTAACCTATTATAAACAATATAAAAGGAATCTTAGGAAACTGTCGGAATAAACAAATTTGCTGATTCTAAAATATTGAAATTTATCCACGTGTAAAAAGAAGCATCATTTTCATAATACTTTCAAAAGAAATCAAGTGAACGTATAGAGAAAGACTCACTTAACAGAAACGTAAAAACTACTTTCAAGTTTTTGTGCAGAATTCTAAGAAGGATAACTTTTAGCTTTTATTCATTAAATAATAAAAGTGATAATATTGGACAGTATCAAGTGCTCATTTTTCATGTTTAAATCTTACATAGTAAGTAGATCACACAGATCTGTGTCATTTTACTGTATTCATAGTAGACTGTTGACGAAATCATTTTATGAATGATTTACTGAGCAACAGTTGAACTGATGGATTAAAAATTAGAATGCTAGAAACAATTTCTACTCATAAATTCTCCCATCTATTTGCCAACATCTACGAGTTCCTTATAATTTAATCTCCTTAATTAATAAAATAACAGTATCATAATCATTAATGATTTTCTGTAAAAATATTTTTGGCTATTACGTAAGATAAAGTAAAGAAACGGTTATTGTGAAAATATATCTCCCCCTGGTTAAAGTATTGCAGCAATATTTCGACAAGATTACAATTAGAAAGCCACTGAGATTCGTACAATCGTTTCACTTTGACAGATGTCGTTAATTCTGTTGTGAAATACCTTGAATATATAGTTCTCATGTTTATTGATTGAAATGTGACTGCCGCATTCATGTGATCATGTCAAGAGAATTCACTAAACTCGTTCCTGAACGTAAAAAGCTTATCAAAGGCTTTTATTCAACATACTTGTTATAACAGAATGATAGTACATAAATTTTTATTTAGCATTCATATTTTGTCAATCATTAAATAAAGTATAAAGTTTGCAAGTAATTAATTGTTTAAAATAATAATCACTCACTTAAAATTTGTTTTTTAACTTTTAGCATTCACTCGATTCGAAACGATTGTTTAATTCTAAGTTTTCTAGCTATCAGAATGTCATTTGGTCAAATAATAATAATAATGTATCATATTATATTCAAGATATAAAAAATTATATTCGGTAACGGGGTCGCAACCCACCTATCCAACCGTCCGATTTTATCACGGCTTAAGTGCTGACAGTACCCCCAGAAGAGCTTCAGGAGAAGTTCTATTTTATTTTCATTGTTATTGTTATGTAAAGATTTTATGTCATATTGCTAAAAAGATATATTTTTACACTATTTTTATTCATCTAGTCTTCAGCTTCTATGTTAGTGAAATGTTTTGCCGAATTTTATCGTTATCTTCCGGTGGCTACATTAGTGGATGATAAAATATTTATCTGTCATGGTGGTATATCGGATGAAACTGATTTGAACACTTTAGGAAATTTAAACAGATTCTCAGTAAGTTTCAATGTTTCCATACCTTATAACGTGACTTCTGTTGATGAACAATGATAATGAATAAATTATAGATCCTACTTAAATTCGTATGAAAATAACAATAAATATTTGAATATGAACTGTGTTTAGGATATGCATATTTCAAATATTTATGTGAGTAAAACAACTGAGTGAATGAAAACAGACATTGGTTTTTTTTAGCAGAAATCAGTGGATGAAGAATGATTCCAAATATGCAATGTATATGATATCCATAGACACATATTGATGTGTACACATGTATAGTAACGTTTAGGGTAATTTGTGTTTAAGTAACTCAACTATATGAAAATGTCTAGTAATGTAAAGTAATCTAAATACTCTTTTTCACTATGATACATATAGTTTGGTGTCATTTGAGTAGTTGAAATTTCTTCATTCTAGCAACAGAGATTCTTGAGTTATATATATATTTTTATTATTAACTTATAATAACTAATTACCTATATTGATCTACCATACTATTTATGCAGGAGATTTCCCTTAGATTTGAAAATGTACGGTAGATTTGTTGCATCACGTTTCATTTAATACATGGAATAATTTCCAATTAGAAGATTATGGTAATCGCATTATAGGAAAAGTTTGATCACCGTCATAATTAATAAGTTTGTTATTTTGCATGTCACTTTTCACCAACTCTTTTATTATTAACACTCACATATCACACTATGAGTTCTGGACCTGAAAGGAACATTCAATTTATTCAAAGTTAACAATAATCATAATAATCGCTATATTCAATATTATCTGTTTAGTACCGTATGAAATTCTCCACACAGAAGATTTTAACAAATTTCCTTTACTAAACAATTAGTAATTGGCAGTTGAAAATAAGAAATTCAGAAATCGACATCTCATTAAGTTTCACTCTTTTCTTAGCAGATTATTAGACACGGAGATATCTTGGATGGTACAGTTTCGAACATTGCGAAGCGATAGCTCGTAAACTTTTTATATTCACACCTCATTTTAGTGTTAAAGTAAACAAAAAAAAGACAAGTCGTTGAAAAATTTTGATAACTGAGATATTGAAGCAGGCTGACAGAAGTTTCAGAGTTTCTGACCGTAACTTCCAATTATCATAAGATTAATTCTAAATTTATATTTTCATTTATTCATAGCTTAATGTAGACGATACATTAAAAAAATCTAAAAATCAATGACATAAAACAAAATGGCAATGTTAGGAAAAAAATTCGCACAGTAAAATTATCAAAAGTAAGGACATGTACACTAATTAAAAAGACAAAAATATTTCAGTCAGTTTAGGGATTTTCCATAATGACAATTAAAAAGTACTTTACACGAATTGATCACCGTTGGTTCTGTGAACATGAAAGAATATAATGGTGATCAACGTGAACTCCGATCGAGCTAGAAGATTTTTTTCAGATCTCGCTTTTCTAACCCTCTTACTCCGTTGTAATGATACAGTGTTGGTGAAGATGCTGGTTGTTTGGGGAGAACATCTCAGATTTGTACAGTCAGTAGTGCATCTACGCCATCTGGCCCTGATATTTCTGCTGTTAACTATACAATGCTGCAAGTAAGACCCTTGGAATAGTAAAGCCTAGACGAAATATTTAATTCACTCAATATTACATGGATGGGTTATTATAATATCCGAACCAGATAATTACGTAAGTGTAGTAGTAACTGAGGATAAGCTCTGAAATCGATCTATTTTTGCCTCAATAAACTGATACAGAAATAAAAGATTTATATCAAGTAGATTTAAAACCAAAATTAATATCTTCTGTCAATTAATTAGTTCTCATCTGTGTTTTCCGTTTTATATATTTATACAAAAACAAAAGTACCTTACACTATTAAAACCAGTGGACCAACTAATCTCAAACGGTGATAGTAAAAAGCAGGTGAGATCAATATGAACTGATAAAAAATATGAATTTTTTCCTCTCATGATTTTTTTTTATAAAAATTCAAAATTGTTCAAGAAAGTTACTAATTCAAAGGGTTGTAGATATTTCAAATTGTACACGCTATTCGCTTTACGTATGTAACTGACTTTCAACTGTTTTCACAAAAATAAAATACTTGTACTTTGTATAGTTCATGTGATTGTTTGTAGTATTGGGCGCACCACTTTATTTTTCTGCTATCTGACTCCAGCTAAAAGGAACTTATAAATATGCCACGAAAATAAATATTCTGTTTAGTTCCACATATTATACTAAGGCTAACCTTGTTTTTTCAATGGCAATAATAAGATACCAAATACGAATTCCGTTTGATAAATTTGCTCTGTTCAATCATTTACGCAGACAGACGTTGAAACGAGAAGAAGGAAACGAAGGGTAATGGCGAAGGCTAGTGTACTAACTAAAATCGATTAGACGTGACTAATTATTTATAGCTAGACATGTGATGAATCGAACAAACAATATGCATACACCCAAATAAAAACAGTCAGTTATAAACGAATGATTGACAAGATCAAAATATGTGTGTATGATGACTAGAGAAAGATAAATAATTTAATCTGTTCCAAAGCTAGAATAACCCTCATAGACTTGACATAGTAGTACAGATTATAAGTAAATTATCATCGCATATATTTAGAACTAATAATAAAAATTTTTGACTCATGGCTGTAGTAATTGCATGTGATTACCATTTATTTAACAAATTTTATTAGGCGGAATACGTAATGTACTTTCTGTGAGTTCTGTTTTTTTTTTATTTTAAATATGCGAGAAATATTTGTAGTTCCGAAAACATTTCTTCAAAAGTTAATATTTCATAAGATACTGATTGTTGTTAAACAAGTAAAACATTAGCTGCTGAATTATTCTAAGCGATAAGTGTTCAGAACGAGATTTGATAGTTTTGAATTAAATCACAGGTGAAGTGGTAGATTATTGTACTGCTGATGAGTCTCACACGAGGATATAAAAGTTTTCTAGTTGATTCTAGTTTTAAATTATTGAGTATCTAACATCTACTAGTCATTACGTGAACTAAAAAACGCAATAATTTTTATCAATTTATTGATCTGTTAAACCCTAAGATTAATTATACTAGAGAACGTGTATTTTTAATTTTAATTTTCTATCATTTATCTTATGATTACAGTATCAAGACTTACTATGGAGTGATCCACAAACACAATCAGGATTATTAATGAATGAACGACGTGGTTTAGGTTGTTCATTTGGTCCTGATATTACAAAATGTTTTTTAAATAAACATAATTTAAGCCTACTTATTCGTTCACATGAATGTAAACCTGAAGGATTTGAATGGTCACATAATAAACAGTTATTAACTATATTCTCAGCATCAAATTATTATACAGATGGTTCAAATCGTGGTGCAATTGCTAGAATTTCTGTTGATGGTTCTATACAAATCATACAATATGTAACTGGTGGACAGAAAAAATTCACAACACTAAGACAAAAGTAAGAATACATATACACATATATTTAATCTAATATTCCTGATTTATTACATTAAAGGAATGATTGTTCGTTTAAAAATGCTCTACTCTCACAGATGAGTAAGAATATTTTCTTACGTCCAGATGCAGAAGCACAAGTATTTTAAACGAAATTGACAAGTTAAAACACTGAAACATCGTAAATTTTTGATATTTTAAATAGTTTAAAAATCCAACTACAACTTACTATATAAAAGAGGCTTTTTCATGACTTATTTTGATCGAAAATCCACTATCTTACGCTAAACTACATTTAGCTTTACATACAAGATGATATTAGATTATTAATCTGTCAATTTGAATTTTCTAACCCCATATAATATCAGTTGATAAGTTTTTTTTTTAAATCCTTTTTCTTACTAGAAATATAGTTCACATAAAAGCTATTCATCTTTTATTCACAATATACTTCGTTAAAATTAAGGAAATTATTCAAAAAGTTTTCAGTTTCACTCCTCAATAATTCTAACTAACAAGTCCTATTTGAACAATTTTAACTGACACCAAATAATAGATTCAACAAGTCCAGGTTACTTCCAACCATTAGAGAGTAAACAATGGATGTTCATTTAAATTAATTGATAAAATCAAAACAATTAACATTGAGCTTATATTACAAAATCTTTCCACTTTTACAATTTCGTATATTTTGCTGTACTACAACACTGAGGCAGAAGACAAAATATTGATTGATGTGTCTTGGATTTGAAATAATTTTAATTTGATATTAAAATTAATACAATTGTTACAATGTATACACCTTTTAAAGTAATAAATATTATTTGATAAAATAAGAAATACATAATATATTCATAAATGATACTTTATTATGATGATATGGTAGGACACTTTATTTGAAAAACTGATCGTAAATTTCTAATAAATTTCACAATATAAATTCATTAATGAATATGATTAGTGTTCCTTTTAATAGGTAAAATATTCAAGTAGAAATCTGGAAGCACTGAAATGCTGTTCTGTTCTAGTATAGGACTTATCAGTAGTGAGTATCTGTGACCTCACAAGCAAGAATCGAATCCAGGATCTTCAGTCTCGTACGCAAACACTTGACCTGTAGACTACTGTGCCGATATTCAACGGTGGATTATTTGAAATTAGACATTAACAGTCCTTCCAGGTTTCTGACAGGAGTCGAACAATAACCGATTCATGATTTCAATTAAACTCGGTGATCTCCACAAACGCATAATGACGAAGTTTTATCTCAATCATTCTAGTAAAATATAATAATTTGAAAAAGTTCAAAAATAATATGAGCCTGATCATTTTAAAGAAATAATTAATGAGTATTTAAAAAAGGTGTTGTCCACAATCAGTTCAATTTGTTCATGTTCAAATTGAAGTCTATAATCTATCTTTCAGTGTAAACATGCTTAACATTCACGGCAACGATTCCATAGAAATGTACTATTTTAATCATAATATAAAATAATCCATATTTAGAAATCAGTCAGTCAGTCAGATGCAATGTAGAACTTTTTACGTATGTACATCAGTTCATGTTGCCATACCACATCAGCACTGAGGTATTATTGTCAATTCAAATCCGATAGTAGAAGAGGTAGTAAAAGTATTATAAGTAATCGGAGAGGTTAGGATTAGAAGATATTATTCGAGAAGTGAGATTCAGTGAGAAAAGTTTAGAAAGTCAAAACTAGAGATGTTGAAGAACCCACAAGATTAGGATTTGAGAGAACACAGAGAATAAATGCACCGGCGCCATTGAGAACGATTTTGAGCCATGTCATTCAAGGTCTCTAACCATCGATTATTATCATCTCGTGGACCCCAAGCAGGTAGTCGACAACTACCGACATGGCTAAGTGCACTCGTCAATGACTTCATGGATTTCTGCCATGTTTTGGTTTGGCCGCCCCTAACTTTCTTCCAACCTATTCCTACACTACAAAACAAAGCTCTTCGAGGCAGTCGGTGGTTAGGTATATATAGAAAGAGATGAATATATCGGTTTGATTCTGTTCAGTGTTCTGTCATATCAAATCGGATGGTTAGAATGAAACTAGTAAACCGATTGTGACTTAAGTTATCTTAGATTTTTGATAGACAACATAAAAAAATCTCTCACCTCTTCACAAAGTTCATTTCAAACTATGAATAAGGAATTCTTTCTTCATTGAGTAGTTTCTTTAGATTATTCTAATTCAGTAGTGAAAATTTCATTAAAAAATTATAACAAGCTTTCCTATGGAGTCTGTCGAAATTTTCTCTTTTTTCTTTCAATAGTTTGTTAGTTTATGTCACTTACTAACCAGAAATTTATATCAAATGCTTTTTACTCTTACCAAATAAATTCAACAATAATAATAATTATTATTATAACTAACTTATTGTTTGTAGGAATTTTTAAAATGGTAATAAAAAAAAAACTATTCATAAATACGTGATATATAAAATTGAATACTTTCACCTTATTACACATATAAATAGAATGAATTAGTTCTCGCCCATCTGTATTCTTTCGTAATAAATTAATTTTTAATTTTTTCATTACTTTTTTGAATAGAGTAAGTTGGGCTGAAGAGTCTGCATTAACTGATTTAAAAAACAAAATATCCGCTTATTCCACAGAATTGAAAAAAGAATTTCAATTACTTGATCCTACAAATACTGGTAAGATTTATTTCTCAAATGTAAATAATGCTTACTTACTTACTCCTGTTAACTATCGTAGAGCACAGTCTGCCAACTAGCATTCTAAAACCAACAACTCTGTCCTGAGCTCCGCTTTCCGACTGTTCCATGTAAATATATACTATTATTATCCCCACTAAGAAATCAAGGGTATGATTCGTAGCTGGATTGTGGACACACACACACACTAACAAAGGCTGAACACCTTTTCAGTTCTTTATATCATTCAATCTTTACCTAACTAAGATAAGTTCGTGAAGTTAACTAAATCATTCACACATATCTAAAAACTACTTACACTAAATAAAATATAGTTTGTAACAGTAAACATTTTGAATATAATTTTTATGATTAACTAATTCGCAATACGGATCTATTCAAAATCAAAGAGTCACAGATGAGATATTTAGTTTTACCAATGTACAATCATGATTTCTATTGTATGATCAAGCCTGAATTATTCAAGTCTCTTGATAAAAATTAGCTCTTCAATATACATTGAGTTGGAATTCATTAGTCTACAATCTCGATTTTACTCATTGCTCTATAAAGTCCCATAAAGATTCATTTTTGAATTGACTAACCCTATAAGTCGCGGGTTTTTTGTAGAACTTTAAAACTTCACTTCAATTTGTAGGCGAAAATAACAACGTAATTATAATTTTAGTTGATGGATCATTGTATATAATTGAAAAACAATCACTTATTATCAATCATTCTTAAGTTGTTATAAGGAATACCTGCATATATATATATATATATATATAATATTTTTGTAAATTTTAATTCATTATTTAAAGAAAAAATAAAAAAAGCAATGTCAAGCTTTGTTTAATCTAATTAGCATTAAAAAAAATATTTTATTTTACATTGACAACAATAATACGCTTTTCTTGACTATCAAAAATAATTTTACAAACATACTACTGTAAAATAAAACCAGTAAGTTGGACAATATTTAAAAGAATCTCCATTTTATTTTAAATATCAGAAACTCTTCAGTATAATCTTTACATATTTCCTTTTCAGATCATACAAATATGGTATATATAATTTACAAATTAATGAATGATACTAATATGTTAAGTTTTTTTTTACTAAAATCATGATGAATTAATTATTCACATAAAAATTTTATCCAACTCATTCATAAATTAATAAACAATATTTTTAATTTTGTAATCAATATGTCAACATTGAAGTGACAAATGAATAAGCTCTAGAAGATATTTTATTTCGTAACATTACAAAAGAATTTATTGATGACTAGAAATTTCTATACATTTTACAAACTGTTTACTCTAACTGCATAAATTTATGACTGTCTTCGTGATTTAAAAGTGTTTTTGTCCATAAAACAACAATATTAGTTCAAAGAATAATTTCATTGTAAATGATTAAAAAAAATGTGTTTTGAAATGGATTTTTAAAATTTCTAACAATTTTTCAGTAGATTTCAAAAAAATTTTTTTTAAAAAAATTTTATTCAATGATTTATTTTTGCTGAATTAATTTTAGGTAAAATTTCTAAATTGGATTGGTGTAAAACAATGGAAAAAGTGTTAGATTTAAAATTACCCTGGAGTACACTTCAACCACGTTTAGTGGTTACATCTAAATTAACCAATCAAGTGGAATATTTAACAACATTTAATAAACTTACTACATATGATACTCCATCAAAGGTAACAAACCCCGTCTTATAAATAAATATTAATATATTATAACATGAATGATTCAGTGAAAATATGTTGTATTTGCTTGTAGTTTTATTTCAATGCTTAAAATGAAATTAGTATTCGTAATAGTGTATTCATTGTTGAAATATTGATTTTTTTCATTTAATAATTCTAAACAATAACTACACTTGAAAATGTGATAATAATATTTTTCATTGAAACGGTAATCATTTTAAAATTTACTCAAAATCTTTCAAATATTTAACGTTAACTAAAAAACATAATTGATATTTTCACTGTCTAAATGAATTTAATCTTGAGTTATATAACAATAAAATTAATGAATTTATTCTTTTTAATTGTTTACATCTTCAAGCAAAAATGAATACAAATATCATCTAAAGGGTTTAATCAAACATTTATAATGGTCACTTCAATTATGTTCCTTAATCCAAATTATAAATCTGTCTTTCGTCTTATAAACTAAAGTATCTATGTGATTAATCTGAGTTACTGTTATTTCATTTCGGTACCTTGGTAGAATTGGTTTCACATGCACGAATTGAAAGAAAAGAATAAATAATCAGATTTATCTCACTAAAACAATCTATGAACTAAAGCTGCACTAAACAATCTACACTTGTTGAGTATTACGTTTAACCTTTCAGTGATCATTTCAAAAGAATGAATATTGGATTGAACCACTTTGAACTCGTCAAATTTTAGTAGTTTTGAATTGTAAGCATAAAGCGCTTATTTTCAATCAAATCAAGGTAAATGAAGGCCAAGTGTAAGCTTTTTTCATGAGATTATCATCGATGAAAATATTAGCAGATCTTGACCTTTACAAATTGATCTCAGCCAGAACAGAATTAGCGTCCAATAAGAATTTGAATGCCATTTCACTCAAGTAAGAGACTATTTAGCTCTGTACATTTACAGTTCACTAAGAACCGAGTAGACGGACGCCAAGTTTTATTGTAAACGCTTAAGCACTAAATCACTGTGTTGACGTCCAGTAGTATAAGACTAACTTCAATCACATAATCTGATAACTCGACGATCGTATTATATCACTGGTAACACCTATATCACTACAAACGTATCTGAACTCCACTAGTTACAACTTCTCACTGAACTTCAGGGACGTCATTATCTTTTAATTATAGAAGTTTCGTAGAGACTAGTTTTATCTATAGGTTGCATCCTTCACAGTTCGGTGAAATTCAACAACCTAAGTGAAAAATAACTTTAAGTATAAAAGTTGATTAATCCTTACTTTTTAATAAATTCTTGCAATTAATCGTCATGATAATGATAAATATCCCCTTGTAAACCATTCGTGAGAATTTGTATTTTCCCATTGTCGATGATCGAGGCCAAAATTAATCAGACTTTATTAGCAAACATGCATCTTCACCAGTTTTTTCTGATGTTCGTACATCTGACACACTAGCCCTGATTGGGACGTAACATGTGTCCTGTACTCCAGTGCTAACAACTATCCAACTCTAAATAAACCTTAAACTAGGTTCGATGATTGATCATCAAGCATAAAAAATATTGTACATTTAACTTTCAGCCACTTAGATTAGTAACTTAACTTAATCGATAGGATTCAATCAGCACTAAACAAACAGACGTTAGTTACCGTCTAAAGAGTTAATCAGCACTGTCACCTATTTTGTAAATGCTTTTCCTGGTTTGATTAGTTTCGAGAAGAATATTATTTAACTCAGTATAAGGGTGAATAATGCATTGTGCTGAAGTTCAAATTATAATTTTGAAGATTATAATTACGTCCACTATTGTTTTATCATTTTAATTTCGATAATTTATTCATGTAAATAATGTAACTTTTCTCAATAAAGATTTCGTTTTAATTATTAATTAGTTGATAAACGATTTTTTATGTACACATGAGATTTGAAATTCCTAATTTAATAAATAAAAAAATACTTTATTTGTAAATAAAACAAGGTGCCACCTTCAGTCACTGAAGAAATGTATAAATTCCGTGATGTACTTGAAGGAATATTTCGTGCAATGGATAAAGATAATTCAGGTAAGTTGATTTCCTTATTATACTACATTTTGAAATCTGTATAAATCCGGTGTATCGTAAACATAACTGCTAGACTGTATGACGTAACGAACAATTTAAAATTGCTATAAATGGCAATGCGCCTAGATGTCGTAAGTAGACAAGTGTCAAATGAGCTCCTTGAATCCATGCTGAGATTTTTTTTAGACACCTACCAACTACGGTTGATAAAGTCGGTATATAATTTTGGATTTATCTTCCTTTTTTTATGTCTTCTGGGCCTGACTTGACATATTCAGAATGCATTATTAGTCTATGGAAAAAAAATAATTGGACAAGATTTGATGATCCTTGTCGAAATTTCTGAAGTGGCACTAACTAAGACGATCGATTAAATCATAAGAATGAACATATTTGATAATTCTTAAATCATTATAATACGCTGATGATGTTGTTTAGAAGAACAACGAAAGCTCCACAACCAACGCAACCGGCTCAGAGAACGAAACACCACCACGCTCATCTGTATTTGAAGTAGAAGTTGATACCATATCTGAACAATATAGATACCTCTACAACTGATCATTCAGTTTAGAGAACCCAAAACTGACATGAAAGACTGTTTGTTTTAATTTACTGCTCTCTAGACTAAGCCCTTAGTAACATAACCCCTGTTTACTCTGAAACACACCAAATCAGGGTGAAAGAACATTAAGTCAGAAGTGATCATAAAAAAGGAATTTCAATCCATCTAAATTCATCTGTAGAAAAATCTAATGTGAAGACTTCACTTTTTTCAAAAATCCTGAATGAAGACAGACTTTAGACCAGTTGATAGGACGCTTTACAAAATCTTCAATTCACAAGTTCCAAGGCAGTCTAAACCGCATGTAGTTTTTCAATATTTTGCGATCATATATTTCTCACTTAATACGGCACAATGATCAACAATAGAGAGTTGTGGAAATTTTTAAACTCCACTGAGATCATGTACAAGCCCAAGTAAGAGGACCATTGACACACTAGAAGCACTGAATGGGTTTTTTCCTCGTACAAAACACAATGCGAATCCATGACCCTGCAACCGGGGAATCAGGAAGGTTTAACTCCTACAACACCGAGCTGAAATCCAATGCTATGCATGCCTAGTGTAAAACAATCCCCGATATTGATCGATCATCTTCCACTGTGCACATCGAGTAACTTTCTCACACTCAACATGCCTAACTTCAAACAGACTTGGAGTTCAGTGCGTGCAAACGAAGATCCTTGGTTCGATTTCACATCGTAAGGTCGTCTATACGCACCAATGAAGAGTTCAATTCGAGGGTAAAACGGTCACTCATTGTTTTCAATTTTCCAGTAGTTGCCTTACTCAGGTTGGTTCATTATCTGAAAAAGATACTTAACTTTATTAGTGTTCTCTTCTATTATACAAACTTATAGGTCGAATCTCATTGAATGAATTTAAACAAGCTTGTTTATGTTTACCCAAATGGACAAAAATAGATGAACAAATAGTAATGGATATGGCACGTTCTATTGATATCAACAAAGATGGTTTAATTGACTTCAATGAATTTCTGGAAACATTTCGACTGGTTGAATCCGATCATGATCATTATGAATCGCTAACTGATCAACAAATGGATGAATAAAATTACAGAATCTTTACTAAACATTTTTCTAGAAAATAAATTGTATGGGAAATTAACTATCTAGGAAGATTCGTGCAAATATTTTTATCTTTTATCCAACGAAATGGTGGTGTGGTTCTGCAGATGCTTACCTTTCAACTAAAGAGGATTATTTGAAAATCTCCTATTCCCCAATTAAAGCATAAAAGGTGGAATACTACGATTTGGCAAGCAAATATAAATCTGTACATGAATTAATTATCTCATGGAACTTGGCAATTATCCATTTACAAACAATGACAAATCATCCATTGTTTCAATTCTCTTTACATTTGCTCATTAGTATTTTCGCTTAATCTAAATGAGTGAGAGCTTTCAATACTTCGAAATTTATTTTTCAGCGCTTTTCTTAGTTCGGGTACAGTCAACCACGCCCAGTTGGAAAAAAAGTCACTGTAACCTCGCCTATCTTTTTTCTTCTTCGTCTTCTCCTTATGGATTTTTTTTATTGTGTACTGTTTTTTAACAGTGTACTTTCTTATCAAGAGAGTTCATGTCATAGAAAGTGTATCGATTTCTTTCAAAACCCATTATTTTATTTTTTTTAAATTGTTTACGGATTTTTCATTGTTCTAAAATGTCCCCATTGGAGAGAAAGCATTATGTCAAACTGCTGAACTGGCTACTTCTCAGCGTATCCTATAGATTATTAAGATCAGGATCGATAAATAACTCAGTGAACACTTACGGAATATAAACTAATGGACCTGATTTCACTTGTATTTTGAAATCCTTATGAAACTATGACACATTGTAGCCATTATATATATGTGCTTCCCAATCAAATGAAGTTCATAATATCAATAACAGAAAAACTAACACATTTATATACAGCTTCATATCCGTCGAATAATCTAGTTACTTTCTAAACTCAATAGCTAAATCAATAACCCATCGAAGTTTCAAGTGCTTAGTGAAGCCCAATGTGAATATTAACAACTGAATATATCTTTATCCAACTGTTGTGAACCAAATAAGACAAAATGTGCTTCCTAGATTACATTAATAACCAATATCCAATTTGAATATAACCTGAAGTTACCATGCGAAAGTGATTGAACGATTAATTTTGACTGGTTTAATGACAAAGTAAATTATGTAATGAGTAGTACGAACTAAAATCTAAGCTTAGAATGTAAATTTACAATTTAGATTCTTTTTAGAGAGTAGCTCTGGCATAGTGCTGTTACATAAACTGTAAATGTCTTTTTTGTCTTCTCTAAGTCGCCCAAATATGCCAGTACTACAGATTACAATCAGATAGAGAAGCACTGGAAACATTGAAAAATTCCCACATTCTGAATTACAAAAAAATACACGCCTCATTATTCAACTATCTGAATACTTCTTACTACGTAATCTGTAATTTTAATGAGATTCATTTCATTGTCTGATTTCCAAGCCATATGACCTACTTCCTAATATGAAATATTGTTTAAAAATCGAATATTTATGTAAACATAAGTCAAGCAGTTGTTTCAACTTCTTAAATCCGTATGATTTTATCGCAAGGTGAAATGAGAAATCACCATGAATTTTCATATTTAAAGTGAAAGAACAAGATTGTCACATAACTAGAAAGTGTAAAGTAATTCGATTAAAATACCGATCTACAGTTTTGACTACTTATGAGTAGTTCAAATCGGTAAAACACGTAATTAAGCATGAATTATCAGAAAGCAAATTTTCATTAGGAAATGGAGATCACTAATTACGACAAGTAGAACAAGTTCATTTTATTTATTTAAACATCACTTTGTACAGTATCATTGTATACGAGTTCCATTTTGAAATATCATTGTTCTTTGCAATTGACATGTAATTCCAGTACGACGCACCTCCGTTCAAAAAATTAGTAAATACTATTCATCAATATCCACTTTAAGTACTACTAATATTTTAAGAATTAATCAAGATTAGTCGGATATTTTAAAAGCCATAAAGTTACCGAAAGAATGAGATTATTTCATTTTAAAAAATGTATCATATTTCTTTCTTAATTGTATGTAGGTAATTAATAATTCTAGCTCTCTTAAGATTATATGTACATTTCAGTGTCAAACGACAGCTGACATGAAATCTATATTTTGAGCTTTCTTTCGACTACCTCTAAACAAATACACGAAAATGAGATTCACTCGTTCGAAAGTAAAAACACCGATAAAGTACTGAATACTGCTGTGATCCTTTGTAGAAAAGCCGATGAACAGATAAACGAAGATCAATACATATATTTTTGAAAATAAAAACAAGTAGAGAATTTTGTAAAGTCACATTTGAAATTTTCAAATCAAAAAGACATGATAAACAGGCAGAACGAAGTAAAGAAACAAGGATATATACATAACATAATTTCAACGTGATAATCTACTTTGTAATGATTGTAAATCTGGAAAGCGTATTTCTTTAAATTTCTGATGAAGATTTAGGTCACGCATTGCTGAGACAGCTCGAGCTGGCGCTCCCGATAATCCAGACTATTGTATTTTTTCAACAAAAATGGTAAAAACAGGTTATTTTATGGATGATGTAATCCACATATGGAAAAAAATTGATACTAAATTTATTTTTCTTTATTGAAATGAATAGCATTATAAATCCACCTACGAAATGTCACAAAGAATAACAATTTTTTCTTAAATTTCTACTCCAAACCCTCCTGGATATAAGACGAAACTGAGTGTATTTCGGCTATGAAGCAAAGAAATATTTGTATGATTATTGCACTCATATTTATAATTCTATTACTTCTATTGTACATACATAATCGTGACCTTTCGTTCATGTACATTTTCTCTGTGTATATCAATTATAGATAAATAATATGCTTTTTTTCTCGCTTGTCTTTTTCAACTGTGTATGTTGAATTTCGAACTTATTTCGGTGGAGCGTTTAGTAAGGGTATATTCATGCGAATACTCTCTGCCTGTCTGCCAATACGTTGACCTGAACTACAATCTGCCTATCACATTTTGTATTTGGTTTTAATGTCACCTTTATCCAAATGCGGTTAGCCGTATTATTTTATAGTTAATACTTGAAACAGAAGAACTATGGAGTCAGATAGTTCACAAAGCAACAGAACATGAGGAGTCCCGCGTAAAATAAACGATTCAAGACACTATAAGCTAAGAGACAACCAAAAATATGATCAAAACATGATCAAAAACAAATCAGTCAGTTGCAACGTAAGAACTTCGTACGTATGTACATAAGTTCATGTTGCCATACCACATTCGCACAGAGACGTAAACGTCAAATCAAATCCCATAGTGATAAAGATAGTAGGGGTATTAATGGTAATGAAGAAGACTAGGGTTCGAAGATATTATTCAAGAAGTATAATTCAGTGAGATAAGGTTAGAAAGACAAAGGTAGAGGTGCTGACGAATTCAGAAGATTAGGATTTCCGACAACACAAAGAATGAATGCACCTGCGCCATTGCAAACGATTTTGAGCCATGTCGTTCAAGGTCTCTAACCATTGATGACTTTCGTCTCGCGGACCCCAATCAGGTAGTCTACATCTACCAACATGACTCAGTCCACTTGTCAGTGATTTCATGGACTTATGTCATGTTTTGGTCTGGCCGCCCCTAGCTTTCTTCCAACCTACTCCTACACCACAAAACATAGCTCGTCGAGGCAGTCGGTGGTTGGCCATACGTAACACATGTCCCAACCACCTCAACTGATGAAGTTTCGCCACTTCATCTATTGATTTGCCATCCTTACCTAGTACTCGTTTCCTAAAGACAGCATTGCTTACTCGGTTGTCCCATGATACACCAGCAATGCTTCGGAGACATCGATGATCGAAAACTAGTAACCCACGAACATCTTCTACTCTTAACGGCCATGTTTCGCATCCGTATAGGAGAACGGAGCGAACTGCTGCGCAGTACACCCGTCCTTTGGTTAGCGAACGGATATCACGCCTACGCCATAAGTGACGCAGGTTGGCAAAAGCCAATCAGCGCTGATGAGACTCCCCAGATAAGTGAAGTAATCAGCACGTTCGACTGCTTCACTCCCTAGCACTAGTTTAGGTGCCGATGCAACCCAGTCTTGAAGCAACATTTTGCATTTCAAGGGGGAAAACCGCATCCCGAACATGCTCATATTGTTGCTTATGGTAATCAGAAGACTCTGCATTTTGTCAGCTTCTTCACCGAATCGAACAATTTCATCTGCATAATTTAGATCATTAAGCGACTTTCCTGGTAGGTCAACCCCTGAAAAACCTGACGAGCTTAATGTTAACTCTAAGAGGATGTCTACTACAAATTCAAAAAAGAATGGAGAGAATGGACAGCCCTGACGGACACCACTTGATGTAGAAAATTCCGGTGACAGTTGGCCATAAGCCCTCACCCGACCAGTGGTGTTCGAGTAAAGAGCTTGTATAAGGTTAATGTACTTCAGTGGTACACCTTTCAATGACAGACACTGCCACAGAACCTCCAGATCCACTGAGTCGAATGCCGCCTTGAGGTCTAGGAAAACAACCATTGTCGGACGTCTAAATGTGTGTCTGTGTTCCAGGACCTGTCTGAGTGTGAAGATGTGGTCTATACAACCACGTCCAGGTCGAAAACCAGCTTGGTTTTCTCGAGTCTGCTCTTCACGAGCTCTAGTTAGACGTTTAAGTATAATCGAGGCTAACAATTTAGACACTATATTAGTTAGACTTATTCCCCTGTGATTGTCACAAGAGGACTTTTGTCCTTTCTTATAGATTGGGACAATTAGCGACTGAGTCCAGTCAGATGGGATTACGTCCAGTTCCCAGATTCTACCTAGGATCTCGGTTAGTCTAACTTTCAAAACTGGACCACCATCCTTAAAAATCTCAGGGATAAGCCTATCAGGACCTGCTGCTCTACCTCCCTTTAGATTTCCTATAGCTTTCTCAATTTCATGTAGACTGGGAGGAGTTAAGTCGATTTGCCATTCAGGATGACTGGGGATCGTTGGCAACTGAAGTGTGGCTGAAGACCAGTTGACCTGATCCCTAAAGTGTTCTGCCCATCGATCCAGTCTCCTGGATTGAGAATGGATAATAAGACCATCCTTTTCCGAGATAGTCTCACTCACATTCGGGTTCCTAATACCGGTTTCTTGATAAGTCGGAAAAGTCGTCTAGTGTTGCCTATCGCCGCTGCCTTTCCTATCGCTTTTGCTTTCGCCACCCACCATTGTTCGCGGTCGTTACGTAGGCTTTTTATAAGTCTACGCCTAAGCTGACTACGCTCTTCATCATGTTTAGAGTCAAGTGGGATGCGTTTTCGAGCATCAAAAACAAAAACATTGCTGATGCGAGAAAGGATACATACGAGAAGTAAAATGTTTAAAACCTAAATAAACGGTGCACAACGTTCCCTAATGATCGTCAGCACACAAACATTATGGTGCTGAATTCCCCGAAACCAATCGTGTATATTTAAGTCCTATGTATATAGAAAAACAGTTTAACAGTTAAACTCGAAGTATCTTTCGAAACATAAACGTAAATGAAATCTCTCGATTAATGTTTCGAAAGATTTACGAAAATATACTTCAGGCGATGCCATAAAACCACTTTCCAATCCGGTGATTAAGTTAGACAAGTCTAACCACTCCGCTCCACGTACGATAACACTTCAGAAACAGTTCTGACATATGTGGTGATACATATTTTTTATTTAAAGACTTCTCGACCTCGAGTTTGAACACGATATTGTTACACAAATTTTATCGCCAAACAATGATTGCCAGTTGGTTTGTTATCTTAGTGTTTTAGACGCGATTACGGTTGGGATAATTTCTACAGGATTACAGTTAAGTGATTTATGTCGAATGTAAACTTGACCATTCAAAATTTAATGTTGGTCTAAAACAACTTAACTTCAGTGACTAAATTATTATCCAACTTGGGTTGATTAATTCTTCTTATTTAGCTTATGCCTGATATCAACGTTCAGGTCCTTTTACTTTAAATTCTTTTATTTCATAACCAGCTTCTTTTGTCTGTCTAAAATCAGACGGAAAATATTCACACTCTACACTCTACTTATTTACTCATCGGACTGATGGTAACTTTCCGATTGATGGAAATCTAAGAGTTTGCTATTAGATTTCTTGAGTTCATTATTCCACTTACTCATTTTAATGGTGAATCGTTGATTTATTTCTCTGAGTAAGTTTGATTTTTACCGGTTAAACAATAAAATTCGTTTCTATGCATATACCTTCAAGTGAAAAATCACGGACAGAAGATAAGAAAACTATATGTTATAAAGGATATTTCTTGTCTTGAATTACTTCTAATATTCAGTCTATTTACAGCTATAATCTCTTATTATGTTTACTTATAGAAAATTAATCAATTAAATTGAAATTTTAGCTCCCTGTTTACCAAATCAATATGTACAATAATAGGCTGAACTTGCCTCCTGTTTCTCGAGTTTTTGTTGTTCCTCATATCTATGAGTAATTTCATTAATATGAGTTTCTAATACCATTCCACCTAGTACAAGTTCATTCAGTATGTAGTGTACCTACAAAACAAAATTTAAAAATAACAAAAAAGTTAATAATATATTACCTTATCTACATGGAAAATCAAATCAAGTTCACAAACATTCTCGAAACATTTATCTAATGCTTCGACGAATACTTGAATCAAATCCAATATACCAAGTTCACTTTCAGATGAATCAACACAAAATACAAAATATAATGTAGCATAATGACGATAAATTAATCTATAATCTTGTCCACCAACTAGTCTGTAAAAGAATATAGAATATAGAAAAATATGGAGATTTCTTACGTGCCACCTTCTAAGAAATTGCAAACATCATCATCTCTTCTAGAGACCAGATTGAAAACTTCTTTGACAATTTTCTGTTGTTCATCTTCACTCTATGATTCAAAAATCATAAACAATAATACAAACATACGTAATGCTCATAAAATCTTATTAACCTTGGTTTTCCATGGTTATTGATAATAAGTATGGCACGAATCATTGACAGGAAAAATCAAGGAATTTGCCTAAAACTAGAATCTCATACACTTAGTATTTATGTAATAAACTGCGAAAAAACGAGAACAGAAAAATGAAACAATTTAAACAGTCAACTTATATCAAAACAATAAAAAATCGAAGTTACTAGCGCTTGTTAAGCAACATGAATACCATCATAAGTTAAACACCAGTTGATTTTACTTGAAAACGTTTTATCTGAAAGATTGAACACAGTTGAAATAGACTACCAATATAAATAAGACATCGACCAGGTAAAGTCAACATAGGTCCCTGTTGCCAAATCCCCACGTCGAAATAACGATTACGGAAGCTCATGAAGTTAAAAGCGAAAATAATATATCGGTTTTAATAAGATTCTGAATATAGGTCCAGTTCAAAAAGAATGCATTACTACGACAATTATTTCAAGATTAGAAGGAATGATAAATCATTACCAGTGCCGGAACCCCGATCCGAAAGTCTGCACTTTTTGATATGACCCGGATCAGTAATCAACGACTTTAAGGATTGCTGTCATAGCTCGATATGCCTGTAGACTTTTTCTCATTTTTATGACAGCCACTATTACACTTTTAGGTACATAATTATTAACCAGCAGTAAAATACACTTTGAACATGACAGTACTGTTCGTAAAATAGGTGTAAAGATTAGTTTGGGAATAACTGCACACCGCTTTGAGAGTGGTCTGAGTGTGTTAGCACTTAGCGACGAACACAAACGAAGATTCTTAGATCCTAAAATTGCTCACTACTGATAAGTGTTAGTAACAAAAACTGGTATGCGGATAACATTGAGTTACAGTTAAGTAACGTGCACTGTTAAAGAGATACATCAGGAATCAGGTAAGTCCCTTTGTTAGACAACCTGATGATAGTTAAAGTGAGGTAAAAAGTCTCTTGACAATGAATTTTTCTACAACTTCTGCCACTTGTTCATATTCTATTTAATTCAAAACATGAACATTGGTAAAAAGCGACGCCACATATATATATATATATACTACGAGAAAACACTCAGGTATGTCCCCACTCTTTCTCATAAAGAGTTGTCCCGAATATGGATGCTCTCCCAGCCGAAGTGACTACAGCTCCCTCAAACACGTACTAAGATACGGACTGCCAACTAATGTCCGGTCCTGCGATGTCAACTGATGGTATCCAGAAAGCCTGTTGTAGTGAGACAAGCACATCCACACGAATCACAGAACATACTTATTCATAAAGCACTGTTAACTGACTAAAATTAGTGTGTCAAATTGCTCAGACTACGGATTAATCAGCAACATCAAAAAGCAGGAACTGTACCGAAAAAGCAAGAATCAGGCGCGAAGAAATGAAATGGTACAGTATCCAATATCTTTCTTACGAGTACACGTGAACCAGTTGGTTTTTTTACTCTTGCTTCTTTTCCTTTCGGTACGACTCCAAGTATCTGATCATGATAAATGGAAGGTAGTCAAGTCACTTGACTGCACGAATTTTAGTCGTTTGACAATTGTTTATTATCCAATATCCAATATCTTTTTCACGAGCTAGTGTAAACCAATTTGATTTCTTCGCTCTCGATTCTTGTCCTTTCGGTACGGTTCCAGGTGTTCGGTAATGTCTAATGGATGGAGATCTAGCCACTCGACTGTCTAATTCTAGTCAGTTGGCAGTTGGTTGTGAGTTTGTATGTCTCGGGATTTGAATGAAACGTTTGTTTCAGGGCAGTAGGGTTTCTAGATACTAGCAGCTGTCACATTACCAAATCGGAGATCAGTTAGTTGCAATGTGGAGAGTAATAAGGGTAATAAGGATAAATTAAAATGATAATATGAGTAAAATTTCACAACTGAGTAATATATAGATGAATTTAGTTTGGTAATTGGTAGTGAAGATTGTGAGAGAGGACCGAAGTGTAAGCAAGGGAGAGGAATAGGCGAGATAGAATAATTGAGTGATCTGAGGAGATGGCAATGGTAACAACTAGCAGGTCTCTAGATATGCATCAGGCACAGCTTGTCCAAGAGGGAGGTGATAGTCCATATGCGAGTAGGTGATTATCAAGTCTCTTCTTAAAGCAGTCCACAGAGGGGGCTGTGTTCACCTCGGCTGGGAGAGCATTCCAAGTTGCGACGACTCGCAATGAGAAAAAGTGTGCACGAATCTGAGTATTCGCTCTTTGATGTGCAATCTTTCGAGGATTGCCTCGAGGGGAGTGGTGGTGATGCATCGGTAAGATGCTCACATTTGGATGGTTTGGGGTGTTTAATATGGTGTACGCCATAATCAGGTCACCTCTGATTCTCCTGTAGCTCAGTGGGAATAATCCCAAGAGTACGTGCACTGGTATTTTACGGTCCAAGCAGGATGTCCAACTGTCCCATGCGATGAGAAGATTAGATGCACACGACCTGCCTTTCCGAAACCCGTGTTGAGCTTCATGGAGTATTTTATTCTTATCCATGTACTCCCTCATTTGTTCGTCCACTAGTCCTTCCATAACCTTTGATAATATAGGTAGTAGTGCGACTGGTCTGTAACAGGCTGGGTCCTTTCTATCTCCTCCTTTGAAGATTGGAGAGAGAGTAGCTTGTTTCCATTCCGCTGGGAATTGGTGTGACTCCAGTGAATGCCTGAACAGGTTGCACAACGGTGAACAGAGGGCTTCAGCGCACTGTTGCAAAACTATAGGGCGGATTTTGTCACAAACTGGTGACTTACCTGGGCGTAAGGATTTTAGTTTCCTTAATACTAGGTCAGGAGTGATACGGATGTTAACTAAGCCGTCAGCTGGCTTTGGGTTGGCGTAATACTCTGAACATGTAGGCGCCTGGTTTAATTGATCAGAAAAATGGGTGTTGAAGATTTCGGCCATCTCTAGGTTGGTGAGGTCTTCTCCATTAGGCCCTTTTAGGGGACACAACCCTTGATTAGTAGGTTTTCTCTTGGACATGAACCTAGACAGATGTTTCGGGTTTGCCTCTATTCTGGCGGCTAGTTTCGTCTGGAATCGTCTTCTGTCGCTTCGAACTTTGGTATTGCATCTGTTTCTCAATGCCAAGTAAGAACTGCGATCGGAATCCTTCAAGGAGTCCTTCCGCTTGTGCCAGGCTTTCCTCTTCGCCTTTAGCAAGCGTTCCGTGCCGCGCCTAACCCAGGTTCTTCCGTTCTGGGGTTTTGGGTGTGATTGAGGTACGTTATCTACGACAGCGTTTTGGATGATGTCTCTCACTGCTTGGCAGTGATCATCTACTGTCAGCCTCCGCCACTCCCATGGCCATAGGGCATGTAGGAGCACCTCTCTCATGTGTGTGTAGTTTGCCCTACTGTAGCAAAGGTAAGGCTCGTTATCGTCCGGTGTCAGCGTTTCGTTTGTGACCATGTTAAACAGGACTGTGCCATGGTCACTACTACCTATTGGGGCGCGGATGTGAACATCCTCAACCAGGAGCTGGTCGTTCGTTAACAGATAATCTAGGTTTGAGGACTCCCCTTCCTTAGTCCACCTTGTGACGCTGCGTACGTGCTCAGTCAGCCCACAGCTTCTGATGGCTGTACCAAGTTGTCTTTGGAACCAACCAGTGGGGGTGATAATCTGGTTGCTGAGATTTAAAGATGGGGTATTGAAGTCTCCGGCTAAGAGTATTGATCAAACCCTAGGAGTGGCAGTTGCAGAATTACGTCAACCAGTTTGCTTTTCTGGGCCCTAGTACCCGAAGGAGATCGGTAGATCCCTCCAATCGATTATTTCGTGCCATTCGAGTGGAAACAACACCAACATGATTCTGTCACCTCGGTTAGTTGGGTGTCGTATAGTCACTCTGCTTTTAAGTTTATATATATATATATATATATATATATATATATATATATATATATATATATATATATAGTATATAATAAAAGTACAAGGAATAGAGCCTGAAAGTACTCCAAAATTGCAACTTTACGTTTGACCGTATTAGTAGGTAATTTTACGTGTATCCAGTAACTTGTCCACAAGTCCTGTGTTTGTGAGTGAGTGGATGTATGTATGTTGCCAAAGCAACTAGAAATAGAGCAGTTGAATGAGGTAGCTAGATCTACCGCGCAATGGTTCTGACTTAGGATGGTTCCTTTTGCCCGAAAATGTTTTCAGATTGTCAACCAACGAATGTAGACAACTTTTTATAGCTTCGGAGGTGATAAAGTATCCCGGAAGTGGATTGTTTTCCGTAAATGGAACAGAGTCGGCGAGGACACGTCAAATTCGAAGCACGCGCTTATTGATTTATATGTTCTGTGATTTCACTGAGCGCTTTTGTTTCAGGACATTAGGGTTTCTGTATACCTTCAGCTATAACATTTTCAAGCCTGAGGTAGCTTAGTTGCAATAAGAAGAATATTGAGGAACAAATTCTAATGCTAATGAGAAAATCGCAGATCATTATAAATAATTAAATATGTTAATGTGTTGGAAGTGAAAATTGTGTGGGAGGGGAAGAGGTGTGAACAAAGAAGAGGAAACAGAGATAATAAGTGAGATAAAATGATTTAACGATCTGAAGAAATGGAGATGATAACAGAAGACAAGTTTCCTTACATGCACTTGACATAGCTCGTCCAAATGGGAGATGATAACACTTAGTTGAGTACGCACTCATCATTGTGGCTATCCACTGAGGAGAATTATGGTCTCAAATTAGGACAACTCTTACTGAAAAAGAGTTGTCACGCACCTGAGTATTTACAAGCTGATCAATATTTTGAGAGTTCTCTCGAAGGAGCGTAGTGGTGGTGTAAAGGTTCAATATTCGTGTTGTGTTTATTCGGCATACCATGTGTTTTATGCCATTATCTGATCACCTCCGACTGTCGTAATCTTCAGTAGGATAGAACCTCAAGTAATCGATTCTGTCTTCATAAGGTTTGTACTTCAACACTTCCATCCGCACCCGATCCTGGATACTAACATATCTTTTAAGAGGAACAGGAGGAACGATATTGTAAACTTCA